GTCGACGTTGACGCGCTGGTGGGGCGCGACCGATTCGCTTGGGCAACCGATTCGCTTGTGAACCACGTTAGGCCTTGATTACTATTGATCAGCTCGATGAGCGCGGTACTGTACGCGGCTGCCAGAGGTGGGTACACGCCAACGTCGAGTGGCTGGAGGCTGTGAGAGGCGTGAGGCGGCAATACTGCGAGGAGTATTCGATGGGTATCGCAGTAATCGATGAACGAAGGCGTGAGGTGACTGCCGTGCCCATCGACGAGGAGCATCCTGTAGTCGCGTTTTTCTTTCTCCTTCGTGAGCCGATCGAACACCTGTTGAACCCAAGCCAGCGCGAGGTCATTGTTACTCCATCCCGATGGGCTGTTACAGCAAAAAATCTGGTGTTTTCCGACCTCAAGGTCGCGCAGCCATTCATTGCGAAGACCATCTGTGCTCTTATAGGTTATCGTAGGGTCTACCGAGCTCTTATCTGCGCAGATACACCCAATAATCGTGATCCAATCCCTACTCCCATCTTGGAGGGCCTTGCGCATTTTCTTTTGCTCCCAAAGCTCCTTCGAAAAGATTCTTTTCGATGGCATGATACGCCCAAGTAAGAAGCCCTTCTCGTCCATATTATAGATATTATGTGATGCAATCTCATACTGATCAAGCTTGGGATAGATGAGATCAAAATACGATTGGTATTTGGCTGGGTTATCAGCCAAATGACGGTCGCGATCGATACCGGTGGCTTTTCTGATGCATATCACATCGTTGTGACGGTGCAAAAACCGAGTAACCCAGCTGGTGGAGGGCTCCCATTCTGCAATAACCGCCACATAGTTTTTTACTATCGCTCGAGAAGGTGGTAGGCCGCGTTCTGATAGTTTTTCTATATATTTTACTAGCTCAGTTTCTTGTGGTGGAGTGAGTAATTGACGTTTTTGCGCAGCTGCTGTTCGTGACTGTGTTTTGTTTTGGTGCCGGAGCGTCAATGTTGTGAGCTCAACACCAAGCTTTTTTTGCAGCTGCACGATATGAAAGGTGGCCTTCTGTATCTTGCAAATCGATTGCCGCAATCGCTTTTGCGAGAGCTGTCATGGTGGTGGAGATATCACGTGTTGAAAATAATGGGTGGATATTTTGATGGGGCTGATGGTGTTGCATTGGGTGAACTGTTGCACGCACTGATCACATCCAGTATCGGCAACCCAATTGAGCATCCGTCATCTGTTGATTGGCTGAGAGCAACCGAGGCTCCCAGCTAGGTGCACGGCCGTACTTATGACTCCGCACGGCAGCTGACATCCGCTTCTGTTCCCTTTGTATCGATACGCAATTGCAAGAAGCGACAAGTTGGTATCATATTGGCGCTGCTGAAGAAGCATGCAGTTGCTGGTTTACAGGTATAATACCTATACATGAGACAGCCTATTACAACAGTAATCAACATATTATCACTCAACAAAGAAACAGTAATGTACCAATATGATGAAAGCTGAACTCTTAAGCATTAAAAAACCTCTGGTGGGTGATAGAGGAAAATGTAGGAACAATCACCGCTATCGCGAATTGCGGCATTTTTTTGAAAGTCCACACTGAACTATATAGCATTTTATATTACAATCAGTATTAGTTATAGTTAACTAGTTATATAATTAACTACTATGGTTATTTAGCGAATGTATTACTAAGTTTGTAAGGATTTGCAAGTAGCTTCTTGTGGAAGCGACTAAAAGACACACCGCTGAAGATTCGTCCGGTAAATAGTTGTCCCGTACATCGGAAATCCCTTCTAGACTGTAGCCCCTCTACGTTCTTCAAAACCGTTGCTGTGGAATTCACCCTTTCAATAGATTTCTATCTTAAGGCTGCATCCTAGGCTTCTGCTATACTTCTACCTCATACAAAGTGTTCAGCTTTATTCCTGATGAGACCTACGATTGACCGGTACGTTAAAGACACCCCGACACCCTAGAATACGGATTAATTGCTGACAACTACTGCCGGTATAGCACCCCGCTTGTTAAAACACAAGGAAGCAGAGTCTTGAACTGTAATTTACATGATTCACTTGTTACTGGTTCCAAGAGGCTCTGGCCATGCAGGCGCACTCTCATGACAAAAAAAGGAATTTAGCCTAACGAAATCTATCACAGGCCTGTGTTTCGCCTTACCCTTCGTATCCGTACTTGTATACGCCTACCGTCCGTTAGCGCATAATGCCACTCGCGAGTTTTACAGATTGCTCTACTATAACGCCGTTGGAGGAACGTATACCCAGGGCTGGGGAGATCTTCGATTTGTTCTGTTTGGTAGTGTTCTCTTCACTGTTTTGAGAGCGGTTACAATGAGGTATCTGCTTAAGCCGCTAGCGCGTTTAGGCGGTGTCGAAACGAAGAACATGGCTCGCTTTGCTGAGCAGGGCTGGTTAATAGTACATCACTCCTCATTTTGGATAACAGGCATGGTAAGACAGTTCCCGTTAACACAATTTTGAGGATGACTGACCACGGTATCCATGCGGTGACTGTAAGAATCGGTCAGGACTATGCTAACGACAACAACCTGCGAGCACAGTACATCAACTACAATTCAGCATACTGGATGAATTTATACGAGTTATGGACGAACTTCCCAACGCGCGAAATGACCGGCCTAATGAAGAGCTACTATCTCCTTCAACTAGCGTTTTGGTTGCAGCAAATTTTTGTTATAAATTTTGAAAAGAGGCGAAAAGACTATTTGCAGATGCTCACTCACCATGTCATCACAAGCGTACTCATCGCAACAAGCTATACCTATTATCAAACTAAAGTTGGAAACGTGATTTTGTGCCTGGTGGATGCGGCGGATGCGCTTTTCGCGGTAAGTGATGGCGTGGTTCATATGATTAGGAGCTGCTAATTGTTTTGAATTCTCATGTACAGGTTGCCAAGCTTCTCAAGTATCTAGGTTTTCAGACTGCTTGCGACGTTGCCTTTGGCATCTTCATTGTCAGCTGGATTGCTGAGCGCCATGTTCTTTATATCATGGTGTGCTGGTCTACATATACCCGTCTCACCACAGTAATGCCTTACGGATGCTACGACTCCATTTCTGGAAACCTGCTTCCCGACTCTATACGGACTCCTCGGAACGGTGGGGACAAGATATTTCGCGAGATTCTGCAGTCTTTGCGCGACCCCGGTGGTCCGGTTTGTTTTAACTCCTCCATCCGGTCCGTTTTCCTTGGATTACTTGGAGGTCTTCAGCTGCTTATGCTAGTATGGTTATGGATGATTCTTAAGGTTGCAAAAATGGTGCTTGATGGCCAGGGGGCTGATGATACCCGCAGTGATAATGAAGAAAGCGCGTCGGACGAACTTGATGAGAAAGAGCTGCAATCTTGCTCAACATAGTACATTTAGTGACAGCCTAGGGTTTTCATCATCTACTGAGAGCATTGGAACTCGGAATCTAGACTCGGGAGATTCCAAAAGAAACGCACATGAGACGCTCCACAAGCGAAATATACTACGTCAATATTAATTATTTCGATAAAGACACAACAGGGCTGAGTCATGTATCGTAAAATACAAGTCTATATACTTCGTTAGTTTACATCTCTGTATATTAGGGAGAAACAATGAACTCTAATTCCAGGAATATATACAGGGACGAAATTGCTATCGAACACATAAGAGTGTGAGCGATTGAGTACATCAGATTAGATTAGATTCATCCTACTCGGTTTCAGCCGCGTTTTCTCCGCAGCTATGCCCGGCATGGCTGGCGTAGCCAACAGCCGACGCCGCGCAGACGTTAATCCGCGCCGCCCCACGTCACTCCCTTATGGGAGCCAGCTGTTCCTAGAGGCGGCCTGCCGTTTCCCATCTACCGCTATCTACAATCTGGCTGCTACCTTATCTAGACAATCTCTCTACTAACAGTGTACTGTGATTATAGGCTCGTAGAGGCGTGTTGCCTCGTGTTTTGCGGCCGCGATACCTACAGTCTCCCCCCAGCGCTTGGCTGTCGCCTACGCGTCTTCGATCCCAACATGCCCAAGGATCTGCGCTTGTTCTACAAACTGGATGGCTTTGGTGGCTAGCTGTGGCTTACTCAGGATGGCCCGGAGGTTGTTTCGTCCACGGAGGTTGCCGAATACCTGGTTCCGGAGGTTCTTGAGCATCCTGCAGTGGAGCAGGATATGGGCGACAGTCTGTCGTCTCTCCCCGCACTGGCAGCGGGAGCTGGTATTAACACCTGGCACTCTTTGGGTGAAGAGAAAGTCGCACAGGCCTATCTTCTCGGTGCGCAGCTGCACTCGTAGCGCGCTCTGTTGTTTAGTAAGGCCTTCGTGAATCTAAAGTACTTTCTTAGTAGGCCACGGTGTGTGTCTGTAGGTTGCTCGACCTTTCGCCTCTGTTCGCCACTTGGCTGCCCATGCTCGCTCTGTTTGAGTCCTCCACCAGCGTCTAACGGTCGATCTGATTGGGTAGAGCCTGGGCGGCGCGTCTGCTGGCGGGTGTCTGCGGCCGTCCTCTCTCCATCCTGTGGCCTCCTTGGCGGCCCTGTCGGCCGCTTCGTTTCCTGGGATGCCGGTGTGGGCTGGGATCCACCTTATTGTCACTGGCCGGTCCATGTCCTGGAGCGTCTTGACCTGTTCTGCAATGTCTGCGAGAATGTATGCTCCTGATCGACCTTCAGCCTTGGCTACTGACTATATGGCTGCCTGGTTATCTGTGTAGATGGCTATCTTCCGCCTCTCACCTCCTCGCTCTGCGTACTCTTGTGCTATTTGCAGTGCGAGGCTGATGCCTTGTAGCTCGGCAGCGTAGACTGTCGAGTCCGTGTCTGGCCCCATGTATACTGTGTGGGTCTGCTGTGTGAGCAGGCATGCTACTGCAGCACCAATCTCGCCATCTATGCCACTCCCGTCGGTGTAGATGCTAGGGCTCTGGTCTTTCTCGTTTTCTCTGTCGTGTCGACTGCGTGCTTTGTCCGCGCTCTCGTCTATGTGGGTCTTTGGGCGGTGTCGCCAGGGCGGGGTGATAAAGTGTGGAATCGGCTCCTGCGTCTCGAAATCTTGTCTGCGCTGACTCTTTATGTCATCGTATATCTTCTGCCAGGAGTCGACCTGTCTAATGTGGCGTGTGCTTGCGCTAGCAGGTTGTGACCTGCTCACCTGAAGGTTTAAAGTGTGCGCCATGTGCTTGCTCGAGAGGAGCCAAGTGATAACGTCGGCGTTGTGCTTCTATATCTGCTGCTCAATTGGTAGAAGGTGCGCTTCGACGTCGAGTACTGCTTTGGACGTGGCTTTGTATGCTCCGCATATGGCTCTTGCTGCTCTTGCCTATATACTTTGCAGGATGCTAAGTGTCTTCTTGGTGTATGTTTTGCCCTTGGCGCTGGCATTCGACCAGATGGAGCAGGCATACATCATCTATGGTAGCGCTGTGGCCTCGTACAGCCTCCGCATGTCTGCAAGCGTAATACCCCAGGTCGAGCCTCCAAAGCAGCTGAGCGCGCTGACCATCTTTGTCACCTTACGTCTAATCTCTTCTATTTATTCTTTCCACTATAGCTTCAAGTCCATAGTTAAGCCTAGATACTTGCACGTTGGCTTATGCGTCACCTCGCCCCAGCTTGTCTACACTATCCTACTTCTGTTGATGCGTGTGCGTGAGCGTGTGAAGTGAGTCAGCTGGAACTTGTCTGGTGCGAAGACCGAGGCGTGGGTAGTGGCCTATCGCTATGCTTTCTCGAGAACGCGACTTAGCGTGCTGCATGTCTCTGCTGCTGTGTTGCCCCATGCGAGGATAGCTACGTCGTCTATGTACCCTATGGACGTTGTGTTGGCTTCTCTGTTGCACTCGTCTAT